ACGGAATGGGCCATGTCAATGCAGCTGATGCTTGTGCAGACATCTAAAATACTGATCATGTATGACAGAACATTGTTTCTGGCTTGGCCATCATCCTGTTTGCCATCTCTCCCCCAAATACACGCTGCTTTGCCTGATTTGAAGGAATAATGTTAAGGTGTTGCAGGTAGAGGAAATTGAAGTAACACTACCAGACTGTCTGATAGGATGTCATGACGGGGCAATGATTTTATTTAGAAATTTATTAAATGGCCAACTTTTATACAGACGAATGTCTGGGCTTCTCAGTCATATTCTATTTCAAGCTAACTTTAAGTATTTTTTTGTATTTAAATTGGGTGGACAGGTGAAGTTTGTGATTAAGCTTTTTTTTTCCTTCCCTTCGCTCAAGACAGTGGTTGACTTTGAAAATTCTACACACAAGTGCTTTTGTTTCATGTTGTCGTACTACATCAGGCACATGAAAAAGTTCAGTGCTAGAACTGTGGGATCTGTTCACCTGTGTAAGCACAAGTTTCCAGTAGAGCAGACAGGATTATGAAATGCACATCAAGAGCAGACTGGAGTTCAGGATGTGTATTTGAGCCTATTTTTCATGTGAATAGTAGTGCTCTCAGTGATGCTTCACCAGGTTATTCTTTCCTTTCAGAGACAAAGCTGGGGCATGGGGGGAGGAATCTCCAATTTATCTTGGCGTGTAAAGTCTTTTTGTTGTGGTCAACTGGGTTTTAACTTGTTTTCTTCTATGTTTTCCCACTGTCTGTGGACATACTGCTTTAAATTAGGATGAGGCTATGGAAGGAGACAGTGTTTCCACTCCTTGAGAGAGGGAGACAGCGGTGCCTTGGTTCTCGTGCCCGTAGGTTGTGATGTCCAACTGAGAAGTCTGCTAGCTAGTCAAAAAACTACTCCCTTCAACCAATTAAGTTTAAAAGTTTTTAAGATAATAGGCAAATGCCCTTGTCTATGATGAAATGTCCTTTTTAATAGATCTGCATTAACTCATTTGTAACTACGGTACTAGCTTCATGGTGAAGCATAAACTTAATTAACAAAAAGGACAAACTAGCTGAGGGATGAGTAGTAATTTCTTCTGAAGATCCTACTTTTTTCAGGTTGTGGAAGTAACTCCTCCCTCTGGGGTGGACTTGCATTTTCACTTACGCTCTTGTCTAAAACTTGTCAGACTCCAGCAAAGACATGCTGATGTAGTAGTTTGGTTTGAGTATTGCTGCGTGGTGCCTGGAGATTGCTCATGTGCTTGGGTTGCGTCAGGAGTTTTTCTAACTGGGTTTCACCCATCATAGCTGGGAACTGCGGCCTCGGAGGGCAGCGCAGGGAGTGTTGTAGAGCATTGCATTCTCTGTCGATCCCGTCTGACACCGTAATGCCTTTTAATCCCTTACCAGATCCCGTATTACAAGAATAATTTAACTGCAGCATTTCTCTTTAGAGGCTGGGAGTCTGACAAAGCTGTGAAACTTTGGTCGTGTTTGGGTTGGTTTGGTGGTTGGTTTGTTTTGCCCTGCCCCGTATTTGTTAGCCAAGCTGGAAAACTCTGTTACAGACACCTGAGTAATGTGTTGCTTGCTTTTTCTTTGGTGTCAGAGGGCAATGTTTTTGTCATAGCTTGCCTGACAGCTGTCTGGGAGAGACAATAAATCTTTTGGAATTCTTTGTTTTGTCACTTTTGTGCCCAGGAGCACAAGATTTTAATAAATCTTCCTTATTGCTAGCAAATAATACAGTTTTTATAGATACTGAATCCTTTTAGGCTGGTAATCTTTTTATTTCTGTGATTCCAAGTGGATTTTGTAGTGACAGTTGAGATGAAGTCTTCCTCAGTTTCTTCCTGTTTTCTGTTGTTGTGTGTCAGAGGGGTACCCAGCAATGGTGCGCTATGCCTGCCTGACAGATTAACGTCTCCTCACCAAACAGTGCCAGCCTTTTCCGTTCCATGAAAATATTCTCTCTCAACTGCTTGCTATCTTTCTGGACTCTTATGTATGCTGTATTATGTCTTTTTTTTAAACGGAGAATAACATGACAAAAATATACATATTTTCCCAAGGTGGCCTAATGCACTACTACATTTATTTTCCTGTCCCATTCCTTATAGATACAACATCTTGCTGGCTTTGTCTTCATTAGACTTCCTCAATGACGTGTTGCAGGTGTGTAGTTTACTACACATTTTCTTGCACATGAGCTTTGAGGGCATGTTGGGCATTGTTGATGTCCATGATTAAGATCATCATGAGTTTGCAGATCCCCAGCTCACAGGTGTTGAGGTGAATATGCTTGCTCACCTGTGGTCCTAGTGAGAATAAACTGGAAACTGATGGTGTACAATGCAGAATCTGTTACACGGTTAGTTCTGTGATGGTGAGCTGGCTACTTTTTTTCCAAAAAATGAATTGACAACTTGACTCAAATAGGCTTATGGATGTTCAAGAGGGTTGTGAGCAAATGGCTGATAGTTTTTAAAATGTCGATTATATTTTTTTTTTAACCCTAGGATCATAGGTTTGAATGAAAAATGTATTGCACCAAACTCTTTAAAACTCTTGATTGTGTGCATTAGTATTGCAAAGAAAAAAGTGAGAGCTGGGGGAGGAAGAGGAGGTAGATTTGAAGTACAGTAGGAGAAGTGAAGGTAGAAGTGAAAGCCAGCTGTATGCAGTATGGCTCGATGCTAAAGAAACACAGAACAAATTGCTGTTAAGTGCTGTTTTTCACCCAAAGTGACTTGTACTCCAGGCCCCACGGAGCTGCACGCGTTGCCGCCCACGGAGTGTGAATGCAGTCACGCTTGTCTGCAGGCTTGGTTGCATCTGTGTCTGCGGTGTTACTAAAAGGCTGATCTTGGGTTATTTGTTTGAGGCAGAGCTGCAGTTCTGTTACTCCTCTTTTTTTTTCTTTTTTTTTTTTCCCCTCCTGTAGCACGTAGCGCTTTAATCTTTAGATGTAACATGATGCATGTAGTAGCGGGCAGGCGTTTGGGTTTACTTCCACTAGCTGATTTTTGACCTTTCTCCTCTTTGTTTATGGGAATGCTTAGGAGTTGTCTGGCTTCCCCATGGGAGTACCTCATGCCATAACCTCTGAGGAAGAGAGATGCCTCAGCCAGTCAGTGGGGATAACAGCAGTCGACTGTAATCCTTCCAGAGTCTGTGGTCAGATGTATTCTACCCAGGCACAGGGGATGATTTTCATAGTAAGCTCCTTGCATCTGTGTTGTTATGCCTGCCCAGGCTCCGTGCACAGCATCAGTCTGTCTGACCAGGGACCTTCTTGGTGTCAGCTGCCGTCCTGCTACCTGGGGACGTGTATGCACGCGGATGGGTGCTTGTGCTAGCCCAGCTGCATTAGGCACGCGTGTGGCTACAAACAAATACGTTGTTCCAACAGTCGTCATATGCAAAGTGGATATAGCAGATTGGTGTAGTAATTTGTTTTGAAGTTCAGTTGGTGACGTGGACTGAGGTATGACTCGCTGTGGTCTGTGATTGAAGTTGCTTGCTATACTTCTGTACATGGGCAGAATCTTATATAAAGTTTGTTCTAAAAAAAAACAACCTCTGGCCTAGGGAAGGAAGTTCTGTGTGAAAGCACAGGATTTCAAGAACTTGCCTTTTTTTCCCCCCTCCAGTTACAAAAAGGTAATGGCTCGAGACATCAGTTCTTTCTGAGCATTCAGCTTTACAAAAATTGCCAAGGCAGGTTTTGATAGCAAGTGAGACTGCTTTCTTCACTCCCCAACAGAGAGAGTTGCAAGTTAGTGATATCTTCTGATCTTTCATGAAGACTTAAATCTCTTCTGTTGTTGATGAAGTAGCAGTATTGTGTAAAGTATCTCACTGTAACACTTCTGACTGACATCAAGGTCCTTTCTTCGATTAGGACAGGCAAAGACGATTTAACCAAAAAAAAAAATGTGTTTTAGGTTTTTGTCAAAAGGAGCACACTGCCAAGGTGTTAACCCACACTTTCTTTTCAAATGTATTTGACCACAAGTTAATTAAGTATGACTTTCTCTATTGGCTGATAAATACTAGGATGGTTGTGTCTGGTTTGTTTTGCTTTGAGATACCTAAAGCAGGAGAAGGATCGTAGAACCCGATAGTCTGTTCTAGATAGCACGGTTTAAGGTCTGTGTGCAGGGATCATTTACTGTAGTGCTAATAGCCACGTTACCCTGTTGTCCTTTTTCAATACCTGCCCTGAAACATTCAGGCAAATAGTTGAGACTTGCTGGTTTTGGTGTCCAGCTGGTTTGCTTCTTACCAAAGTTTTGAGGATGTTGCTGTGTCAGGAATTATTCTGAAAGGTCTCTAAAGAGTTTTCACTACTGTTCTTCAACTGCAAGAGGAAATTGCACTCCCTCCAACTTCATGAGAACCTAATTATCATTTTCTTTGGAAGACCATCTGTAGGGTTGTGAATGAGCAAGCTATAACAAAACAAAAAACTTTTGTGATATTCTTCCACCTCCCTGGTTCCTCCTGTTCGGTTTCTATTGCAAAGCCCTACCTAGCCTTTCTTCACTTTAATAGACTTCAAAGAATACAACCCTTTTGAGCCTGCTGCCCGTTAATAAAGCAGACAAAGTGGGTTATGTAGCTTGCAACAGAGATTCTTATAAAGGATCTGGTAGGTTTTCCCCTATTAGTAATAGAGGGAGAGCCACTGTGCCCTCGATTATTCAAGTCTCTGAACTGAAAAAGAAATCAAAATAAAAATGGGAAAATATGACTTGGGGGAAGAGTTAAATCTTTCTCCCACTGCCTTACACTTGGTTTAAAACCTGCCAGCCCCTCTGAGTAATTCATCAATCATATAAATATTGACCCTAGTTTTTTTTGACAGGGAAAGTATTAAATGCTTAGCTTAAAAAGTAAAAACAAAATCCCATACCCCACCAAAGAAGGACATCTGTTTCTAACTTCAGCTTTTTATTTTTTTATCTTTCATTTTTTTTTTGTTGGTAAATCTCCCAGACAACAGCAGTTCTGTAGAGAGTTTAAATATGAAGGAATGGCAGGACGGGCTAAGGGCACTTCTACCGAACATTAACATCAACTTTGGTGGACTGCCCAATGCTTCTTCCCCTTCCAACGCCAACCACAGTGTACCAACGTCCAACACTGCCACCACCGACAGCCTGAATTGGGACAGCCCTGGCAGCTGGATGGACCCCGCAATCATCACAGGTAACCGTTTCTCACTCCTTCAGCGCCGCTGGCAAACCATCAAATGGGTATTTGGCACAAACTGATTTACATCTGGAAAAAAAAAAAAAGACAAAGTCAGTATGCGGTGGTCTCTTCCAGCTTCCATCCACAAAACCTCAAGGGTCCAGGAATTTTTGTGGAACCACTAGGTATAACAAAGCATCACTTAGGCCTTTGCAATGCATGCCCGGGACTCTGCAGGCAGTCAGGCGGGTCAGCGCTTATCTGTAGGGTCAATGTAGGTGTCCCTTCTGCCGGATGGCATGTCCCGTATGTGCGCCGCCGGCCCTGAGGCACTGAAGGCATTCGCTGGACTTTCTTATTTAAAAAGGGACGTACTCCACTTGTTTATAAAGCTCTCTTTTATAAGGCTGTCTGGTTGTGTTTCCCTGTTAGAGAGGCTGAAGCATGATCCAAGCAGGCAGAGTAGCATGCAGTGTACCGGTAGTTTGGTGTGGTACAGTCACATCAACAGGGATGCAGTCCTTGCGCAGGAGGTTTGACAGAAAAATGTGTGGCTTATGAAGAAGGAGCTCTGAGAGGGAACTTCCTCCTATCTGGATTTAATGTTAAATGTTTTGCGGGTAGGGTAATTCTGTATAATAATGTAAAATGCATTCTCTGTACAAACTAATCATGTTTTCTCACTGTTGCTTTTTGTTAGGTTAAATTGACCTCCTTCATGCTCAGCTTATTGCTTCTGCGCTGACTTGCCTGTATCCCTGTTTTGTTTTTGTTTTTTCTTCTCTTTGTAGGTATCCCAGCCTCCACAGGAAACAGTTTAGACACCCTTCAAGATGACAATCCTCCACATTGGCTAAAATCTCTTCAGGCCCTCACAGAGGTGGACGGCCCCAGCGCAGCGCCGTCACAGACGCACCACAGTAACCCCTTCGGCACACAGATCCCTCTGCACAGAGCCAGTTGGAATCCCTACTCTCCTCCTTCAAACCCCACCAGCTTCCATTCCCCACCTCCAGGCTTTCAGACAGCCTTCAGACCCCCCAGTAAAACCCCCACAGATCTACTACAGAGCTCAGCGCTGGATCGTCATTAGGAGAGGAGGAAGAAGAGAAAAAAGAAGAAGAAAACCCAAAACGTTAGAAATGCAGGAAGTGTCCCACCCTGACTCCTCCCCATGCCCACCTACTGTTCCCTGTCATATCTTTTCTTTCTGAAGAATCCAGTTCCTGATCAAACCTCCCCCCCAAATGCAATGCCATCACAGGGTCATGACCGTATCTTTTTGTTAAGTTTCTGCTGAGCCAGTGTTTGAAATGCACTGTTTGAAGTATTTTCTAACTGTTCTAAGGCAAAAAAAAAAAAAGAGAGAGAGAAATCAAAACGCAGTCTCAATGCTTAAGGAGAATATTACTGTCTTACGTCTTTTGCACATGAGTATTTCTGCCTAGTGGAAAAGTGTCAGTCTGCAGTAGGGGGAAAAAATACCATGCAGAATCAAATGCAGAAACATGAAAAAGGTATTTAATTTAAATAAAGTTACTGAACATGTGGGGCAAGCAGTGGCCTAGCATTTATTTTGCATTCAGTGTGGCACTACACAGGGCAATTGCTATGTTGGGTTTGTTTTTTTTTTTGTTGAGAAGGGGATTTTACTGTGTCAGAGTTTGACATGAAGTGTGTTGAAAGACAAAACACTTACAGCTATGAGTAACTGGCATGTTGCTAAAGAGTGGTTTAAAGAGGGGAGAATAAGATTTTTCTTTAATTTTGGCTTTAGATTTAAAGTAAACTGTAATGTTTTAAAAGTATTCACAGATTTAATACCTAGCATATACATAATATAATTATAAGCAGCTGAAACACGAGTGATATTTACTTCAGTCTTTCTGTCTCCTCTGTCAGTCTCTCTTTCTTTTTTTTTTTTAAAAAAAAAACACAAAGATTCACCTGATTAGGGCACTCTGGGATAGCACTGCATTGGGGCCACATGATCACCATCAGGAGCAACCTCTGACCTCCTCTGCCTGCAGCTTTTACTTAACCCTGTAGTTTCTGGACGTTTGTGCAGTATTGAAAAGACAGGAAAAAAGAAACAGATAAATAAACATGGTTATAACCTGACGCTAAAACTAAAACCAAGGAAGTGTACCTCTTTCTTCAGAATTAAAACTAAAATCTTAAATAAAACGAAAACTTGATGATGACTTTGTGTTTGCTTTTTGGTTTTTTTTTTTAACTTGGATTTTTAATTACTGCATCTGGTAAAACTGCAGATCATTGCACGGTGGGGTTTTTTTTTATCCTGTTCATCTAGACTGGAGCTACTTTTTCATGGAAATAGTGCTTTGCATGGTGACTTTGGTATTGAAGGGTGGAAAAAGGATACACACTTCAAGTTTTTTTTTTAAAGAGATTCTGTTGTTGATGTTACTTGTGCAATAGCTAGAGGCTGTCTGTCTCTAACCTTTTTTTGGTGATATCCTGTTAAATCTGAAGCATGAAAAACTTGTTTATACTTTCTGAATTAAATACCATGGCACTTGGGACAGATAGCATGCAGTAACATGTCTGAAGATGTGGCACAGAATTCTAGTTAGAGCTCCCTGTTTCCATCAGCATCCTCACTTAAAGATCTAAAATACTGTCACTGCCCAACAGGGGATGAAGAGCTCTTGAGGTACAGAAGGCCTCCAACAAGCTCTTGGTGGGTAACATTGGTGTTATAACATGAAAATATATCAGTATTCAGGTGGGGGTGCTGCTTCTGCCTCTTTTAGCCTAGTTTTGTCCACTGTCTGATGCCAATTCCTGCATCCCTGCAGTCAGGCAGCAACTGGCTTTTCGCTCTGTTCAACTGTGCGGGGATCAGTTCGTTTCTTCTGAGGCTTTTGTCATTTTTGTTGTTGATGGACTCTTCCTGCGACAAGAAATTCTGTACAGGAACTTTTATTGAACGTAGAGCATCCATGTGTCTGCTTTGTCCGTGTGATCATCTCGGTGCGTGGTCTGTGGTGGTTTTATATATTGTACGGACACTTGCAGCTCTTCCTTGCCTTAAGTGAAGAATGGTGATTGACTAAAGGGCTGGTGACCCAGGGCTGGCGACACGTTTGGTAGATGGTGTCTGGTGGAGGTGATGTTGGAGAAAGAGGATGGACCAGACTCCTCCTCCAGAATGGATATGAATGTGTGTGTGGAGGGAAGTAAAGGAGTTTTTGGCTGTGAAGGTGTTGGTACGAGAAGTTGTGTTGCATTTTTCAAAGAATTCTCAGTTCAAGCGTAGTAATGTGGGGGTCAGCAGTGCTGGACTGATACTAAGGGTTCCTGACTGTTGGGTTTTTTTCTCTTTAATATCTCCTAAGAGAATGATGTTTCTCTAGTTTACAGCAAGAAGTATAATGTCACTTTCTAGGTAAGGTGAAGAGCCATTGCATAAATTCCTTTTCCTTTTATAATTTCCATTCCTACTTGCAAGTCAGGTGTGAGCAGGTATGTGCCTTTATAAATGCAGGGTCTTGACAGGGCTGCTCTAACCGTACTTAAAACACCATTGTTGACTTCCATGACAGTTTTTAATCATGAGGTTGGTTTGTTCCTGTTCCTGAACTCCAAACTTGTGTTTTTCTTCCCCTCCATCATAGACTCTGTTGTCCAAATTATTTTTTTCTGTAATGTTCGTTTAATCATAGGCATGCAAGATGTTGGATTTTAGGGAAAATGCAATGTGTTTGGGTTTTCTTGTGAGGGGTGGTTTGGTTTTGATTTGGGTTTTTTATGGTGGTGGTTTTGGCTTTTTGGCTTTGTGTTTTTGTTTGTTCTGTTTTGGGTTGGATTTTTTTACAGTTTGGTAGAGCTGGCCATGCTGCTGTGGAGATTTTTGGCTTGAAGGGATCATGCACCAATTTCCTCCTTCATCCTTGCAAGGGAGCTTAGAAAAATACACTTGAAGAGGCACAGTTACCCTCTCCTCAAGTTGTGTGGAAGTTGCCTTCAGTTGGATAGGAGCTTGGGTTTGGTGTTGGTCTCCGGCATACGTAAATCCTCTGCGTGGCAGGTGCTGTATTGCCTGGGATGAATTCTCTCTGGGAAAGCTGTAGTGCTGGAATAAAAACTTACTGCTCAGAACTGAGATGTGACAAGAAACACGGAGAGGTGGCACCGTGCTTGAAGGGACTAGAGTTGTCACCAGCCCTACTTGAAGGGGCTGAGGGTACTCGTAACTTGTTGCAGGGAACAAACTCTCCTCTAGTCCAGCTGCCAGTGCCATGAATTTTTAGTGTGCACAGAGCAAAGAATGTGAAGTGCCATTTGACGTGAATCTATGCATTAAGAGTAGTTGTTGCTTTCCAGCAGTGTGTGGCTATATGACCAGCTATAGAAGTGCGTTCTGCTTCACCGATTTATTATCATCTGTTCGAGCTGAGTGTGGATGTAATAACTGTAAGAACTTGTGCTCCTTCCTCTTTGCCCAAATCCCAGCATCCCCTTTTCCCTACCTTGGGGCGTTCCACTGATGGGAAGTGGCTCTCGGGTCCTCTTCTGTTTGTGGCTATGACCGTAAGCAAACCTCCTAAAGAGAGAAAAGGTGAGGTATCGTCACAGCTTTGGGTTACAGAGTAAGAAATGGCGTAGCCTCAGTACGCTCTGATCCTGCACGTGGGAGCACCGTCTGTGAGCAAGGTCTTCATCTTCCCTTCTTTCTGGGGTTTGCCTGTGCCCTAGGCTTACCGCTGTTACGTTTATGTGGCAAAGCGAAGGCTCCGGAGATGGAAATGGCCAAATGAAGTTCCTGCCATGCGAGTGCAGGGGTGCAGAAGTCTGAACATTGTGGCGCTTTGAGGTGAGCTGGGTGATCGTGGCAGCAACAGGTTTGTTACCGGCTTCGCTGATGAAAAGCACTGGTTCAGGGTGGTCTGGTACAGGGCGTGGAAGTCATGCAAACAGAGGCGGTGTCGCTGCGGAGGAAGACGGTACAGAGAAGTCTTTGCTAATCTGACGCCAATGGGAGGGTGATCTGCCTGACCTGCGGTGGTCAGGAGCAGCCCACCTCCCGCAGCGCAGATGAGGTGGGGCCTTGCAGTGGGATACAGTCGTCGCACAGTTACTCTGGCTTTCTCCTGTGAAATCTTGCTAGATTACTATTTCTTTCCCTTGGTCTTCAGACTTACAAATTTGTCAGATTCCTCTCCGTTCCAGAGATGCTTGGAGAGAGGGTGGCACTTGCTCAGCTCTCTCCTCTTCCATCCAGCACAGCAGCGCTTAAAATGGAGGTCTAGAAAGCTTGTATGGGCAGAGCGTGACCGTTCTTTTCAAGATCACAGTCAATATCTTTTTGGAGTTCCCTGGCTTTAGCATTTGAATGTTATAGGTCCTGGCATTAACCTTGCCTAGATCTTCAGAGAGGGTCTGAAGCCTCTGCTGTCGGGGCCAGCAGTCCTGGGAGGCTGGTACGGCTGAGCTTCACTGAAGAATTTAAAGTTGTGATCAAAATTTGTTCAGCTCTTTCTAGATAAGCATGCAGGTTGAAGTTTCCAGTGTGGAGTCTGAAGCTTAAAATCCTGTTTTTTAAAAAACAAAAAACCCCACAACAACAACAAAAAAAAACCCCATCAAAACAAAAAACCCCAAACCAAACAAACGGGGACAGAATCAGCAATGAGCTGGCCTCGCAACTATCTCCATCCCTGTGCGGATGGTGTCCTCTGGTTCCAGGGCCCACCTTTCTGTTGGATATTGCATATATATAAACTAAGTAAAAAATAAATAGAAACGTGATAAATAATCACTTTAGGAGGCCTTTCTTCCCGGAAAGGGTCGTTGGGCATTGGAATGGGCTGCCCAGGGAGGTGGTGGAGTCACCATCCCTGGAGGTGTTGGAGAAGACTGGAGGTGGCACTGAGTGCCGTGGTCTGGTTGACATGGGGGTGTTAGGGCAAAGGGTGGACTCGATGATCCCGGAGGTCTCTTCTGACCAAATCGATTCTGTGACTCTGTGATGTGTTGCCTAATTGGATATTGCATTTGATGTTGCATAAAAGATTACAGCTAAACCTTTTGGAGCTTCGGCTTCCCTGGAGGGAGGCCAGGACCTCTGAGAGCTGGAAGCCCCTTCCCCAGCGGGGCAAGGCTGGGGTTTCTGCAGGGGGAGGCGGTGGGGAGGGCCGGGCCTCGCGTGCCGCGCTGGTGAGGAACGGCTGGGCGGAGGGGGGCTCCCACAGGGACTGCGGAGTGATGGGGAGAACGCGGCGGGTTATAGGCTCGTCCGGCTTGTTTCTTCCCGTTTACAAATGACTTAAACCTTCTACGTAGTTACCTTCCTTCTTCCTCTTTGGCCAATACGTACAAAAGG